CCCTAACAATAGATAAGCGCCGTTCTCATCACCGCGTAAATAAACTGAAATTAAAATTTTTCACTCGCGATGCCACAAATTTCTGGTCCGCACGAATAAGTAATTTTGCTATTCAGGCGAAACATGACAGAAGGGTCTGACTCAAAACGTAAACAATGACTTGGATCGTCGGTTTCTTACGACTGACAACACACCCACTCAAACTAACTAAATCATCTCAGGGTCTAATATGTTGCGATTAGGAACAAAACTACCAATTTTTACAAAACTCTGAGAACCACTATATCGTTTTGCTGTATACAGACAAAAAAAAGTGAAAACTCTTTTAAAACAGATAGCAGTAAATTAAAACTTATTTAACCCCAATTAACCATAAAATTAAAAAAAAAATCTTATTATTGCAGGCAACCTTTGGGTTCATTTAAACAATCGCATCGTTCAACATTTTTATGAATTAAAATAAATTTAGCGAGGGTTCACTTTTACCCCTTACTCCCCTATAAAGTGTACCCCGTATTCCCCTAATATCTCATGAACTGTTGTTTAAAGACATAGTATTCTAAAACCATGCATAAAGTGCTTATGTTTTACGAAAAATAGAGCTGTGAAAAAACATTTCCTCCAAAAAGTAGGGGGAAATGGGGTTAAATGGTCCAAAACACATACCTACAAGGCGCTCCGGTCTATGGGACCACGTGCAATCGATTCTCCAAACGATTTCCTTTCGGAAAAGTTGTTTTTCATGGAATTAAGCGTGCTGTTGAGATATTGAATTTTGGGTAATTTTGGACCCATTTTTGCCCATAGTGCGACGGTAGAGCATGAATATACGAATACAAACAGACTGTCGCGCATGACAACAAAGCGAGTGTAGTAAAAAACGTCAACAGTTTCAACCCCTGGACATGATTACCTGGAATTTGTCAAATAACGTTAATATTTACGAATAATATATCGAAGAATTTTGAAACCTATAAATCATGGCAAACCTAGGTAGGCTGGGCATGCACTCCAGTGCCGATTTATTTGTCGTCAATCAGTGTAGACCGTTTTACATTTTTACTTAAACGCTAATTGTTACAATTTTACTTCAAGTACTTGCATAAAATTTATATTTTATTATTGATGCCTAGCTAACCTCGTGAAGAAAGTTTTTTTTAAGCGTACTTTTATTCATTGTTATGTCGATATATTCACAGTAGGGAAAATGACGGCTTCGGCATGACAGACTATTTTCGGCAACCCAAATTGAATCGCTAATTTCATTGGATTTTCTCACGTTAACACTTCACTGAATGCATTCAAACAATTATATAGGCTTTCAGCTTCAATTTGATTAAATTTTTACCACTGAGAAAAAGCAATCTAGCAGGGTTTTCCTGAAATGAAACACACGCACTACACAATGCTGCTGATTTCAAGTTGCCGGTGAAAGCACAGCAGTTTAACACGCAGCTCAAATAGAAAGGTTGCCGAATAAAAAGAGGTTGCCCACAATAGTCGCTCTCACTAGAGAAGTTTGGAGTTTTGTAAAAGCGTTTCAAAGCAGTTTTTGACAATTATTTCGACTGAAATTGTTAGAGCAGCTGACAACAAAAGATTGTAAACAAACTAATACTGCATATGTGTGCGTTCCTGAGAGAAAAACGCTATAGAAAGATGGTCGCTGCTTAGGTTGCCGAGAATACGTAAATTCGACAGTGAGCATGCATAAGGGCCTATACGCAATGATCGATTCTCTTCGTCGATTTTCTCTTTTGATAATAACTTGCTAGATTTAACGTTTCTCGGTGCGTTTGCTGTTGTTTTTGATAGCCTATACAACCTGTTACTACTATGCATTGAACAAATTCTAGATAATTGTTTCGCTTAGCTGTAGCAATGCAAAGAGAAAATCGATGAAGAGAATCGATCATCGCGTATTCGCCCTTATGCATGCTCACTGTCGAATTCCCCTATGTATTATAGCAAGACACCGTTCTGTTTTTGGTATAGTCTGTTCTTTAATTGTTGATGCTAAACAAATTTCTATTCCGCAGTGAGCGAGTGGGAGCATAAAAATTGATATTTTCCAAAATCTCTGGGCTGTTAACTCTTTGCGAAATCACATCGTTTATAAAAGCAATCATTGCGTACTCTCTTCGCTTTTTGAGCTCATCTAAATTAATTAGCATACAACGCGATTCATAAGATGGAAGTGGAAAACTCGTCGAACCCAACTTTCTTAGAGCAAACAACAAGAACTGCTTTTGAACTGATTCAATGCGGTTTACATGTGTATCATGATATGGAGCCCAAACTATGCTACAATATTCGAGAAGAGGCCTCACATATGCTACGTAACGTGTTTTGATTGTGTAGGGGTCATTGAAGTGCAAACAAAATCTTTTAATGAACCCAAGCATGTTGCTTGCTTTGTAGATAATGTTATTGTAGTGATCAGCAAAAGTTAACTTGGTGTCCACCTAAGTCTCTGACTTGATAGGATCTTTGGATTGTTTTCTGGCCAAGAGTAATTGTGTTGTGTACAGCGTGCTTTCTTGTGAACGATATAGAATTGCATTTATTAATATTAAGTTCTAACAAATTTTTCTTACACCATGTGTAAAAAACGTCAATTTCATGTTGAAATATTTGAAGACCAGGTGCTTTAGATATCTCCATGAAAAGTTTCATGTCATCAGCATATATAGAAACATGAAGAAATTTAAAAATATGTTCTATATCGTTGACAAATAAAATAAACAGTAATGGACCAAGATGTGAACCTTGTGACACACCAGATGTTACATTAACTATGGTGGACAGATTTCCTTCAAATCTTACCTTTTGCGTCCGCCTTGATAAGTACGACTCGATCCATATCAGTAGCCTAGGATTGAAGCCTAATTTGGAAAGCTTAAAAAGCAAGTTGGTAGCTGTAGATCGCCCTTTACCAAATCCGTACTGTTTGCTAGTAATTACCGACCTCATCTGTAAGAATACATTGTCATTAATGATGGATTCGAATAATTTAGGAATGCTTGATAATGTAGCAACTCCACGGTCATTTTTTTATCAGACTTTTTACCACTTTTAAAAATTGGAATTAAAAATGTTTCTTTCCAAATTGTAAGAAGTACACTCGACTCCAAGGATAAATTAAACAGCCAGAGCAAAGGCTTTGCTAGCTCCTTCGAAAGTGACTTTAAAAAAAGGCGGTAAACCATCCGGTCCAGCACCTTTTGAAGCATCCCAGGTTTCAAGATCACGTATAATTTCCTTGAGAGTTAAATTATCCACTGCGATGTTCTTCATTGGCTCGGCGAGATACGAAATTTTTTTAAAATCTCGCTCATTCTCATCATGAATTGTATAAACGTCCTGAAAGAAGTCAGCAAATAAGTTACTAATCTGACTAGGAGTATTGCCCAACCTACTGTCTAGTTGCATTTTTGATGGAAAGCTCTTGGATTAAAAATATATATAGTTAAAAAAGGATTTTGGGTCTGACTTAATGTTAGTTTCAATCCTTCTATTGTGCTCTTTATATGCATTTTCAATTTCTTTCATACATACAGGTTGGCTTTTTCGCAGTTGAGGAGGACATTAGGCCGTCCATGCAGACTGGAAGCGATTGACTCAGTGACCGAGTCCAGTGGAGTAGAATAATAATTAACATTTTTTTTATCTTTCTTTAAAACACACTTTAATTAACCTTTTCTGTCGGCCCCGGTGGTCTAGTGGGAAGCGTGATTACCTTTCACCCCAGCAGGCCTGGGTTCAATCCCAGTATAACATCTCTGATCACGCCTTGCTTCGGAAGGGAAGTAAAGCCGTTGGTTCCCGGTTCATGAGTTGATGGGTCGATAGGTAGAGTCCAGGTGTGGGAGCTGGCTCCCTGGCGTCGGTAGCATTGGTGCTTAGCACGAAAAACAAGATCGACGGAAAACAAATCAAGGAAAAACAAAATTAACCTTTTCCATGATCTGATAAAGCAGACTTTTTGCTGTTTTATGCAACAACTATTTGATGTTTCAGGCAATGTTCGTCGCATTCTCAGTATCGCATTTTCTATGGCTGGGGATAAAATCCAATGAAAAACCCTTTATCACTGTATAGGTCAGTTAAGTGGAAAACCTCTGTTCGGAAGGAGTTTGTCATCACAAATTTTCGTAGCCACGCACAGCAAAAATTAATTTTAATATCACATCAAAGTGGATGCACTTCAAAAGTGACAAAAATAAGGTGTAATATGACTTGACAATAAGCAAAATTATCATTAATACAGTGCAAGAACTGATATTACGCTGCTTTTGCTACATTTGTCTATTTTTGTGCATGAGATTTTCAACATGATTGAAGTGCATCCTCTTGGATGTGATACTCAAATTTATTTTTTGCTGTGCGAGATCTATGTCAACCTCATTATCACCATCACAAGACACCAACACCAATTTTGCATTCCGCCTTACACATAATTAATACGATCCTCAGTACAATATTACCATTTCCGAGAAATACTTTATCAATCCTGTAACGGTCCATTAGCCAAATGTAATCTCACACCCCCCTCCTAGCAGAGCATTTAAATTATGTCATTTAAGACATTTATCGCCCATTCGCCGTATCTTTTCTCCGTCACACCACGCACAGTTTCTCCTCCCACCACTCCCGCGCACCCAAATTTACAGCAACAACAACAAAGCTTACACGCTTCCGGTTCCTTCTGTCTTGCCACAGTCATCGTCGTCGCCGTACATTCTCCGTTGCTCATTTCACATTCCATTTCATTCCCCGTATTTCTCCTACCCGCAATTTCGTTCGACTCCGGTGAAGGTAGCAAAGCAGAAGTAATAGGATTTGCTCCACCACCCACCCTTGCATCGAAAATACGGGGAAAATCAGAAAGGAAAATTCTACTTCTAGCTTACTTTTAACTTTCGCATCATGAGATGGGCTTCCTCACCAATTGAAGGAGACGCGTGATCCTTAAGTAAATTCCACAGAAGTTGACTTACTCAATTATGCTGCGCCTGTGGTTGGCTGGGTTTGAACTGATTTCCGCATCTGCATGCCAAATGAGGGACAGAGAACTGGGTCCTGGATTTCGCTTGCACTTTCCCAAATCTTCAACAGCGACAGAACCTTTATTTTTTTGGCACACTCTCACTCAATTCAATTTAAACTTCCTATCATCTGGCATTCCACTTGTCGTCAACTTTGCACTTTAGCACTTTTTGCACATGAGCTGCTTTTCCTCGAAAGACCCATCAAAAATTGCTTCCATTTCCCGGGAAACGCCACCACAAAAGCACTTTATTCATTTCATTTCCGGAAATTGTTTTGTTCTCCTCGCCACGTGAACGTATGGTACCGGGTACGAAACGAATAATTCACTTCCCGAATCGAATGGTGGAAAAATCGGGAAATAACGTTTTCCCACCGGAGATAAATAATTCAATTCTCAACCACCACCACCGCCACAAATTTCAAACTTATCGAAAACCAATCACTTCCTGTTTCTTTGTTTCTTTATTGAAACTATAATCCGTACAACCAGACGGCACTCGGGGCTATACTTCCGTCCGTTTGATTCCACCGTTCGACAGCGACTGCTTCCAGATGACTACGGCAGCGATGCGTTTTGGCCTATCAGCACCACCCAAGACCGATTTGAATTTCCCGCGCGCGCTCTTCAATCAATATGCTTGGGGAAATGTGGCTCCCATCGGCACGTCCAATCAGCTGTGCTTCCGTCCAGTGACTGGCTGAGCCAGCAGCTGACGTGGAAAATCCTGCCCCGTGGGGAAGAAAAGCGTGGAATGAGAAAAAGAGCTGAGAGCGAATTTTCCACCCTCAAAACCGCTTCTGTGCCGACGGCGACGAGCAGTCAAAACAAATGCTCGTTCTGAAGCGGCAAACTTGGCTACTGGCTTCGAATGAGCAAGAGCAAGAGCCAGGTTCTCTCCCGAAATGGATGCAGCCAGTTTGGACGGGCGAAGAGATTTGCTGGCATTTGTGAGACGAGTTGGATTCGTTCCACGCACGTCGGAAAGTTTTTTGGATGTCTCAAGTTCTAAACAGTCCAATAAGCACTTCCCCTTCTTCATTCAACTGCCCATCAACTACCTATGCCTGAGCATGTTGTGTTTACAGATATTGACGGCTATCGGGAGGTCGAATCAACGTATTGATTTGCTAATTGGCATATGAATGCAAAGCTTATCTTAGCAGTGGATGTTTCAAAATGTCGTAAAATCGTGTCACCTTGTCATCGACAGCTAGATAGCTCGTTGCGATCCAAATCATGACACGTTGATAAGTGATTATTTATATAGACGGTGTTTACCACAACAAAAATGAGACTTTGTTTTCGTATGGTAACTGCTTATAAGTGTTTTCAACTATCAAACCCCCAACGTAAAATAAACTACTCAATTTCGATATAAAATATTTCCAAAATGTCCGGATCGGACGCGTTGCGGCAAAGTGACAGCTAAATCTATTGTCTAACTGTCAAATTTACGTCAACGCAACGAGCAATTTAGAGCACCTAAATTTACATGAATTTTTCTAAGTGTGCAGCTCCTCTGATCACACCTTCTAACGCGATGTTGAATAGCAGACACGAAAGTCCATCACCTTGCCGTAACCCCCTTCGAGATTCAAAGGGACTCGAGAGTGTTCCCGATACTCGAACAACGCACATCACTCGATCCATCGTCGCCTTGACCAATCGCGTCAGTTTATCCGGAAATCCGTACTCGTGCATAATCTGCCAAGGCTGATCTCGATAGATTGTGTCGTATGCGGATTTGAAATCGATGAACAAATGATGTGTGGGCATTTCTGCAGAATCTGCCGAATCGTGAAAATTTGGTCCGTGGTAGCGCGGGCACCCATGTATCCCGCCTGGTATTGCCCCACGAACTCTCTTGCAAATGGTGACAGTCGGCGGCATAGAATCTGGGAGATTACCTTGTAGGCGGCGTTCAGCAGTGTGATCGCGTGGTAGTTTTTTGACGTAGGATTACGTCTTTAGGTTTAAAAAAAACAAAATCGACCGCGTTCAGGTTTTGACCACATATAACTCTGTCAATAGCAGATGGATTTTATGTCTAAACAAGCCAATCGATTGGAAATTTTACTACAAATCTGCTTGAATGAACACTTTATCAATTTTCAATAGGCCACTATTGAAAATTGCACAAATGTCCAACTGTTGCAATGGTGATCAAAATATCATCGAATTCCTGCAAAAAACACTTTCTCTAACACGGAATTCGAAATTGAATTCCATCCGGTCTCGCCGAACGGTGCCTATTTAATCACCGTGTGTGGTGGTGTCCGGTCGGTCGTCATCAACAGCAGCAGTGCTTTTGGCACGTGGCGCTGAACATTGTTCTCCAGTACTCAGTTAGGTTCAAGCTATCGCAGCGACCAGACGTTTTACAATCGGGCTCCGCGTGTGAAAAGTTTTCGGTTTCACCCCTTCCGCACTTCGGTGTGATACATTTTCTGCGTCAAGTACTGACGACAAACAATCTCGCTGTGCGACCTCGTGAAAATACCTTCAAGGTACTACTCTCGAACTTCCCAAAGCGACCGTCGTTCGAAGACCTGCACTTGTTTGTGCATCACACTCTCGGGTTGCGACTCGACCAAATATTGCGACTCCAGATGAACCATGCATAAAATTGTGTGCATGTCAAATGTCCTGACCTGAAAACAGCCCAGGACACTGTGATTCTACATGACGGACGACATGAGCTGGAGGTGAATAAGAAGAAATACAAAGTGCGACTTCAGATGGACGATGGGGGAGTGGAAATTAAAATCCATGACGTGTCTGAGAATGTGACCAAGGACGAAATGTTTGCTGCCTTGAAGCAGTACGGTGGTGTAGTGAGTGCAAAGGAGCTAACCTGGAGTGATGGCTTTGCATGCAAAGGGATCCCTTCAGGAGTTTGGGTCCTCAAAATGAACTTACGACGACACATCAAGTTATTTATTAACATCCAAGGCGAGCAATCACTGGTGACCTACCGGAACCAGCCTCAAACGTGTTGACATTGTATGAATTTGTCGCATCCAGGCAGTACATGTGTGGAAAATAAAAAACTACTTGGACAGAAGGTTGACCTTGACAGTCGTTTGAAGCGAGCACAAGCTTCCAATGGTCCAGGTCCAACCTCTCAAGCAGCAAAGACTGGTTCAGCAGCTATCAGTTTTGCAGCTATACTTGTTCCAACACCACCGTTTATGCGTGACAATACGTTCCAGACTCAAAGCCTAAAAAACATCTCTGGCCCGCCGGCTACCCTCTCGACCAGTAGCACAGTCCTTGCAACAGCTACTACTGTAGGCACTGTGGGCGAAATCTAGATCGAGCACGAAATGGAATAAAGCGGAATAGGAAAAACAACAACCAACGTTGCAACAGCAAAACAACTAGAAGAGACGACGACTGGAGAACGTTCCACTGAAGACAATATCATGGGCTCTGCTGCTGCTGCTGCCGCTGCTGTAACTATTGTTGCTGATGCTGCTGTTGCTGTTACTGCATCGTCTAGTATATTGAATGGACCATCTGGTGATCATATCACCCATTCGGTCGTGCAGACCCAACGTGATGACTATGGTATCAGCTCCTGCCACGTGCCAGCATTCAAAAGTCCCATTAACCCAGTCCTTTCCAAGTCCTTGACCATAGAGATTTCCGAGAGTGAAAGTAACGAGTCATCCACTGAAGGTACCCCGTTCCTAAAAGTGAAAAGTGGAAGAGGACGTTCAAAAAAACAAAAAATGGATTCCTCTGTTTCAAAAGCCAATGAGTCGATTTAACCTTACTAATGACAATCTTAAAACTATCCGATCATCCTGATATTACTAATCCATTCTACTAAAATGATTACCTTACACCTATCCCAAATATTAACCTCGAGTATACCGCGAGTATTACGGTTAACAATCACGTAGCGAATCAAAATGAATCATTACCCTGTTAGTTATAATGTAGGCTCCATCAACACCAATGCTGTCTCCAGTGTGAATAAAATCTCATCTCTCCGCTCGTTCATTCGATTGATGGATTTTGACATCATCCTTTTACAAGAAGTTGAATGTGCAACCTTGTGTATTCCAGGTTACAACGTTATCACCAACGTAGATAATGATAAAAGAGCAACAGCTATCGCTCTTAAAGCGCATATTCCGTACACAAAAGTACAACGAAGTTTGAATAGTAGAATTCTAATGGTTAAAGTTCTTTTTTTTTTCTTTTCTTTATTTAACGTCGGTCTTTGTTCCGCAATCTAGTGCCAATCACCAACGGACATCGATTGTCATCCATTGACGGCAATCGAATGTGCAAGGAAGGCAGCTTCCACACCTGCGTAGGATATTGCACCCATTCAAACACACATCGGCCGGGACCAACGGCTTTACTTCCCTTCCGAAGGAAGACGGGACCAGAGATTTTTATGCCTCAGAAAAATCCCACCGACCTCGGCTGGGATTGAACCCAGACCCATTGGGGTGAGAAAACAGTCACGCTTACCACTACACCACCGGCGCCGGCTAGCGGTTAAAGTTAACGATTATATTACTATCTGCAACCTTTACGCTTATTCTGGTACGCAGAACTTCTCTAAACGTGAAGAATTTTTCAAAGAACAACTGTCTTTCTATCTTCAAAGTTCTGCTGAACACCTTATATTAGGTGGTGATTTCAATTGTGTAATCACAGCCAAAGATACTACTGGCACAGGTAACTTCAGTCCATCCCTAAAGCAATTTGTGGATACACTGATTCTCTCTGATACATGGGACTGTTTGAACAAAAATAGGATTGATTACAGTTTTATTCGTCCGAACTCTGCCTCTCGTTTAGATCGCATCTATGTCTCTAGATCGCTTGTTCCGCATCTTCGAACTTCGGAGCTGCTTGTCACATCCTTTTCAGACCACAAAGCGTACAAGATTCGATGTTGTTTACCTAGCTTAGGCAAGCCACATGGTCGGGGTTTTTGGTCTATCCGTGCGCACGTTCTAAATGAAGAAAATCTAGAGGAATTTGAACAAAAGTGGCCTCGTTGGCTTCGTGAACGACAAAATTACAACAGTTGGATTTCTTGGTGGATCGAATTCGCAAAGCCAAAAATTCGAAGTTTCTTCAGATGGAAGACTAACGATTCATTTCGTGAATTCCACTCAGCAAATGAACTGTTATACCGCCAACTAAGAGACGCATATGACCGGATATATTAAAACCCAAATGGTATGACTGAAGTCAATAAAATAAAAGCCCAAATGCTGCAACGTCAGAGTTATTTTGCGAAAGCGTACGAACGGATAAACGACAAATTCGTTTGTGGAGAAAAATTATCCTCATTTCAGATTGGTGATCGTTATTGTAAGAAAACTATTATTAACTCTAACCGTCACCAAGAGCGTTTGCTCACTGATGTATCTGAGATAGAGAACCATGTGTATGAATTCTTTAAGAACTTGTATACTGTAGATGAGTTATCCAGTAACGAAAGCTTCCCCACTAACCGAAGCATTCCACCTGATTCAAATACCAACAACACTATGATGGATGAAATTACAACATCCGAAATAATTTTTAATATTGGGTCCAGTGCATCCAGAAAGTCTCCAGGTAACGATGGAATTCCTAAGGAATTCTACATGAAGGCGTTCAATATTATTCATCCCCAACTTAACTTGATTATTAACGAAGCG